GGTGGTACCGGATCCCTTAGCAGAATGGGCTCAACGGATGGCGGATTGATCGCCTCGGGCCGACAGATGCTTAGGCAACGATATACACTACCAGTTAATTCAGAATCAGTTGGAAACAGCGTAGCTGTTACTGGAGTAGGAACTGATGGTGGTGTTGCAACGGTTCCAGGGGGAAAAGAGTCAGCTGGGAGTGCCGGTGGAAATGCATTCAGCAGACCGCAAGTGGCATCCAGACGTCTGTGGCTGGGTGGAGCACCGGGGCATATTCCTCGTGTGAAAGAAATGGGGCTGGGCAAATCAGATGTAGGACCAGGATTAAAGGAATCTCACTGTCCGCAAATTAAGCAGAGCTATAAAACGCAGAAACAGATGAGAGAACAAGAGCCTACTATAAAAGAGAAGGGAATAAAAATTGAGGCTGGAAGAGTACATGATGAGGAGCCAGCGGTCATTAGAAGAGCAGGATCAACACAAATGCATATGGCAGGCCGGGAGAAGTCTCAGATGCAACCCCAGGTTGTCGGTCTTGGGCAGGAGCGAGGGCATGTGAGTCAAAAAGACATGGTGAACAGTCTTATAAAGTCCACTAAACCAATCTTTTAGATAAATGAGGTTTTTAAATGCATATCAAAATGTTTCTCAAATGGCTTCGTAGGATTTCCTACGAATCCTCTTATTTTTATCTTTTCTTTAGCTTTTTCGTCCCAAGGTGTTTTTTTGATTCCTGTCAGCCTAGTTGGCTTACCAGAATAAGCATAGTTCTATCTTTTCTCAATAAAACTTTGGGCCAACCTAATAAACCCAATAAAATTATAAATATAGTAGAGGGTTACCATCATTATCTCATGAACCAAGACAAATATTGTAATTTAATTGTAATCAGTATTAGACTAGAAGGATTTCAGGGGTAGCTGGGTGAGATTTTTATGTTTACTACTGGCATCGCATTAAAATGGAGTTCTTGTAGCGAAGTTTGTAGCCAAGTTTGTAGCGATATATGAAGGATTGTATTTTATTAAGACTGGTCAAAATTATAAAGCAAATGTAAAATTGAAGATATGAAGAGAAACTGAGTTTCGATGAATCTCTTGAGATAATATTGTTAGGGGGACTTTCAGTTCGCATAAAAGTTAATGAAGCAGAGATTTGTTGGTCGATCTCACCAGATAAGGACGGATGAATTTCGTTGTATTGCAGCCGTTTGGCTTTCATACGATATTCATTTTGACGCAGTCCACAAGACTTCCTCCCTTGTTTCGGGTGAAAACGTGCTGAGATTCCGTCCATCATATGCTGGAAATCATCAGAGCTGGGTGTCATTCTTGTAAAAGTTATAATTTTCATTTGGCTCAATTGAGTCTATATAAGAAGTAAGATAGAGCCGGATAGTGTTTTTGGCCTTGTGTTAACGTGAGACTCTTAAAAGAATGAAAACCCAGCTCTGATGATGTCCATCATATGATGGACGAAAGGTCAGCACGTTTTTACTCGAAACAAGGGAGGAAGTCTTGTGGACTGTTAAAATGAATATCGTATAAAAGCCAAATGGCTGCAGTACAACGAGATTCATCTGTCCTCATCTGGTGAGATCGACCAACGAATCTCTTCTTCATTCACTTTCATGCGAACTGAAAGTCCCTCTAACAGTAACATTGAAGAAAAATTTGCCGCAAAGAAGTAAGTCAACGTTCGCCCCAAACATACCTTTATCAAGTTATTATACTATGTAAGCCTTTAAGAATCAAACTTTTGACGGAATACATGAATAATTATTAATAAAATTAGAGGCGATTAAAAGAAGCCAAAGAGTATTTTATAACATGGCCTCGGCCTAGAATTAGGCTGTATGAGGGGATGCCTGTCAAGCATTGAAGCTCTTTGAGCCTTGCTAAACTCAATGATATTTAGAAAGATTTAGCACTCTACAGCGTAGAGTGTAGTGAGTAAATTACATACTTGTCCATCGATAAATTATAAATGAGCTTTGCCATTCAAAGTTTAGTCAACCTTATGGCAGCATTCAGAAACCGACAATCGGATTTTGCAAAGGGTTTAGAAAGAACTTTTCCATGGAACGACACCTTTGCTATGATTCAGTATCACTTTCTCCTATCACTCGCCTCCTTCATCTTCACGCCGTCGCAGTAACGTCTCTTCTCCACTCATCATTTATTAATAGTATCAGCGTTTGAATCTCCCATAACCAGGAGGGCTGTTTAGATACTGCGGTTCGCCTAGCTAAATTTCACGAAACTCCACAGTCGTCTACGTCTTCGCTTCTGATGCTGCCTCGCTCATGAGTCTCTAGCCAGTTCCGCCAAGCCATAACTTTTCTTTGCCATTTACGCAATCATGTACATTTACTTTTGGCACATATTTTATAACCTAGCTTGCAAACTATCTCTTATTTAATCTTCTCAAGCGCTTCCGTCTAGCACAAAAACCTAATCCAAAGATTTTCTTTTCCGGCATAGATAATCTATGCTCCACCAATTATCTAACCAGTTATTGGCTTGATCTTGCATCAGGACGGTTTCAAAGTAAAAAATGAATGTGCCCTATACCTTAACTCTCTCGAACAATCTTCACAATGTCGAGACATCATCGTATGCGCATAATTCGCCATTCATAATCCACCTTATAATTAGCCTTCTCCTTGTCAGAACGAAAGCCACGTCATTTTAGTTGGTGGAGAACCTGCCTTTCACATATCCAACCAGATTCTCTGATCTATATTAGCTGGGCTACTATTATATACATACTTAATTATGAGCAGCGAGGCCAAGCTCCCTGTTCCCTTTCGAGCATTGGCAAAACGGCATCATTTATCTTGTCTTACCTTAGACAGTAGCCAGGAGAAGTCCTGAACGTTATGTAAAACCCTAGCAACGCATCTTTTAGCCAAACTCTTATTTAGATCAACAGAGGACGGAAGGTTTGATAGACACCGAAGTACTAGGAGACCCAGAACATTTATGAATCATTTTTCTTCCCAATAACTCAGATAATTGGTCACAGAGGCTGGACTCAAAATACTTGTAGCTTTCAGATGTGATAGAGCTAGAAGTCCAATACTCAGTGGACGCCTTTGTCAATGCCTTTTCATATATGTCCTGAATAGATACGGCTTATGGCCATTAGGAGAACCGATCAATAATGGTAAGTACTGGTTGCGTTTGTGTACTGACTACGTTCATGTGGAGCTGGCTTAACCTCTTGAAAAAAGCTCGGCGTGGGCCCGATTTTTGGTCTTCTTGCATACTTTGTTATTTTGACACACGATTCAGGTTCTTGTCCTTTTGCTGGTGTCTGCTTGACACACTATATAATCCGCAATAACCTTTTATGAAAATTATATTCCGAGACCCGTCAATTCACTGGTGGTTAGGATATCATCTTCTTCATGGAGTGCTTGCAGGTAAATTCGAACTAAATTTTTATCCCGTGTAACGTAATCACATGCACAACATTAGTATGGGATCGATGCAGCATGCCATATTGACTGAAACTGAGCTCTTGAGCTTCGGCCAAGGTTTCAAAGCTAATCTTTACGACAGTTTAAATGGCGATCATTTTCTAGGCTGGAAAAGGTATAGGTGACAACTATCTCTGACCTCTTTGCGCATATCGCTGAAGGATTGCATATATCGAAAGTGAGTATTAGTTTGACATGACCTTAAGCACTCGACATGAAAGCATGTG